CTCCCCCACCCATGGGTGCCCCTCCCCCATGGGTGCCCCTCCCCCACGCACCGCTGAGCAGCGCGGGCGGGGGGCGGGGGGCGCAGATCAGCCGCGTGATCCCCTCGACCCCCCGGCTCCGGTCGGGCTCGCGGGGCCGCTTGAACAGGGCGGGAACTGCGGGGAGGGGGGGCCCCAAAACCGCTCGGAACCGGCCCGGGACGGCCCCGAAAACGGACAAAAATACCCCAAAACCAGCCCCAGAAATGGACAAAAATACCCCAAAACCAGCCCCAGAAATGGACAAAAATACCCCCAAAACCGACAAAAAATACCCCCCAAACCAGCCCCCAAAACAGACAAAAAATACCCCAAAACAGCCCCAGAAACAGACAAAAAATACCCCAAAAACAGCCCCAAAACCAGCCCCCAAATACCCCAAAACAGCCCCCAAATACCCCAAAACCAGCCCCAAAACCAGACAAAAATACCCCAAAACCAGCCCCAGAAATGGACAAAAATACCCCCAAAACCGACAAAAAATACCCCCCAAACCAGCCCCCAAAACAGACAAAAAATACCCCAAAACAGCCCCAGAAACAGACAAAAAATACCCCAAAAACAGCCCCAAAACCAGCCCCCAAATACCCCAAAACAGCCCCCAAATACCCCAAAACCAGCCCCAAAACCAGACAAAAATACCCCAAAACCAGCCCCAGAAATGGACAAAAATACCCCCAAAACCGACAAAAAATACCCCCCAAACCAGCCCCCAAAACAGACAAAAAATACCCCAAAAACAGCCCCAAAACCAGCCCCCAAATACCCCAAAACAGCCCCCAAACCATCCCCCAAAACCAGCCCCAAATCCACCCCAAACCCCGCGAACACGCTGCCCTCGTGGGCCCGCGTCTGCTGCCCGATCTGGTACATGTCTGGGGGGCTGGGTCAGCCCCAAAAACCCCAAAAACTGCCTCAAAAAATACCCTAAATCCACCCCAAAAACCGGCCTTAAATCCACCAGCACAAACCAACACCAAAACCATCCCAAATCCCCCAACCAGCAAAACAGCCCCAAAACCAGCTCCCAACCACCCCAAAACAGCCCCCAAATACCCCAAAACCAGCCCCAAAACCAGACAAAAAATACCCCAAAATAGCCCCAGCACAGCCCCCCCCTTCAAAAAAACAAACCACCCCAAAACAGCCCACCCCAAAAAATCCAAAATTCCCCAAAACAGCCCCAAAAAAACCACTCCAAAACCAGCCCCCAAAAAACCCCAAAATAGCCCCCCAAAAAACCCAAACCAGCCCCAGAATAGCCCCAAAATTCCCCAAAACAGCCCCCCCAAAAAATCCAAAATACCCCAAAACAGCCCCAAAAAATCCACCCCAAAACCAGCCCCCCAAACACCCCCAAAATTAGACAAACACCAGCCCAAAAATATCCCCAAACCCAACCCAAAATAGCTCAAAATCCCAAACCCCCAGATCCCCAAAATCCCAAACCCCCAAACTCTGAAATCCCAAATCCCCCAAATTTGGGGTCCCCTCACCCTTCTTGTTCTTCTTGCGGCTGAGCGGGGTCCAGCCCAAACCCCCAAGCCCCCAAACCCCCCAAAATCCCAAATCCCCAAAATCCCAAATTCCAAATCCCAAACCCCCGAACCCCCCAGATTCGGGGTCCCCCCTCCCTCACCCTTCTTGTTCTTCTCGCGGCTGACCAGGGTCATGGCCAGGGTGGTTCCGGGGGGGTCCCCGGGGGGCGGCAGCCGCGTCACCAGCAGCGAGCGGAAGGTGCCCCTCAGGCTGCTCTTGGGACCCCCCCCCTCGCGCCGCTCCCCCTCCCCCCGCCGCCGCTCGGGGGGGGCGACCCCCCCCCAATAATCCACCTGCAGCCCCAGCGCCTCCCCCGAGGGGCTGCGGGGGGGGGGGGGGGGGGGCAGGGGGGG